TAGCAGTCGCAGTAGTCGTCGTAGTAGTAGTAGCAGTAGCAGTAGCAGTCTTCGTAGTGCGCTGCTGGTACCGCTAATGCTGCTTCTAGCTTTCGCCCCAAAACACGATAATACATCAGCAGGAAGGCACCCTGCGGGGTGAGGACTAGGCCGCCCAGCCGGTTTCGGTGTAATTATCCGCATCCAAGTTGAAGACCTGGTCAGTGCAGGCATTATCTGCGCATGTGCATAGGAATAGACAGCAATGGCCAGAGACTAGACCAATCGGCATGTCGACAGTTATGCAGAGTTTCGGGGCGGTTCTTCCAGTTCACCACAACTAAGGCAAGGCTTCAACCGGAGCTTTGCAGGACGCCATGGCACACTTCTGGGCCACGCTACCTATTTCTCTTCAGACCCACGCTACTCCCTGAGGTTTTGCGACAAGGGGGGTGGCCAGCATGGGACCAAGGTGCTCATTCTGTCAAGAGTTCTCGTTGGGCGCTATTGCAAAGGCTCCCCAAGCGATGTGGAGCCACCAGTGTGCAACGACGACGGGGACAGATACGACACCACGGTGGATTCAATGGAGTCTCCGTCGATATTTGCCGTCTTCAGAGATTTTCAGGCAGTTCCATTGTTTCTAGTTGAAATTGCGTGTGAATAGTAGCATTATGCGTGCACTGGCACTGGTGATCGGCATGCAAAAGACATGCTTTGGTCGCTCCAGTCATCAGATACAATGTCAACCACTGACATCCTGTCCATTCCTCTGAGTTTGGGGTGAAGGACAGTTCCTGTTTCACCGGGTCTCTGGCGTAGTGCATCCAAAGCATTGCAGAATGACTCGACGGTACCGGACGTGGAACACACTTGCCGATGCGCCCTTGTAGCTACAGTGCTTGATGGGCATGCATGGTCTGCGGCTCCAAATCTCAAAGGGTCCTTGCGATCCTTGCTCTCGTGGGGTTGGCCCCTTGTGGCCTACAACCTTGACAAGAGGCAACTCCCTGTTCCACGCTCCTTAAATGCTACTTGGCTTCTTACAGTTACAGACTGCAGGTGGAGGCAGGATGGCAGTGTCACGGAGGTGGCTTGCGCTGACATGTTGGACATGTCAGTAACCTGCACCTGAAGTCAGGCCACCGCCGCCGAGCTGTCCCCCACCACCTGCACCTCCCGACGTGTCTTCTCGGGCAAAACAGGTTCCAATTGACCCGCAGCGGCATAGACATGTCCACAGAGTAGCCAAAGAACAGGCCCTTGCAGCTGCAGCTGCACGTCAGAAACTTTCTCCGGAAACAAGCATGCCGAGCCGCGTGCTTGACAGGCCAGGGGCCCCTTTGCCAGTGTGCCTTGCAAACAGATGTTTGCTTTTCAAGGACCAGCCGAAAAGAGCATTTCAAGAAAGAATTGGAGGCGCAAGCGCTGTACCTCCAATAGCAGCAGAGAGCAGCCTCTCAACTGTGATGAGGAGCAGGGACGAAAAGGTAAGGATGTGTCGCACAAGATTGCTGAGGCAACACGGCACATGGGTTTGTAGCAGCTGTGGTTTCACTTACATATCAGTCGGTACGGTTCAAGTTGTTCTGCGTTGGTCGTTCTGACATTTATAGCGTCCTAGCTCCTGCAGCACAGCTGAGAATCTGCCGGTCGGCCAGGTCAGCTAGGTCAGGGAGGGGCTCAGACTCTTAGGGCCTTCGGGCTACAGGCTTTTGACGGGCCCATAATTTCGCTGCCTTCAGGGAGGGAGGCTCAGATAGGTCTGGCAAAGCTTATACAAGTTAGGACTCTGAGGTCCAGGTGTCAGGGTATTCAAATTCTGAAGTCAAAGGCAATCAAAGGCATACCGCCCATGGGTGAAATATCACAACGTGCAGGACACTTCGGCCCCTCGGTAATGTCTTAAGCAATCAGTTCTTAACTAGTACTTCCGCTGTAGGTGCAGCACAAAGCAAGCATGTCAAGCTCATTGTGAGTCAGAGGGTGGGTGGTGCAAGATGGCAGCACTGCAATACGAGCCTCAGGTTTTGGCAGCTGCGCGCCAGCGCAGAGCCTGTGAGCTCCACAGCGGCAGAGAGGAAGGTAGGCAAGAAAAGAAGTTGGGCTCGACATGATAATTAACTGCCTTGTCGAGGCATGTTCAGGCATGCAGGAGAGCAGGGTGCAGGGAGTCAGCTGGGGTACAGTCAGTGTTTGGAGTGTACTCCTCATAGGCAACGTTTGTCGCGCATGGGTGTTTCGGCTTCCGGCTGAGGCCACTGAGTCCACGTCGGTTCCTGAGCCATGCCCGTTGTAGAGACGGGCTGGATGGAGTACGTGTGAGTATGCTTGCTTACCCCGTCTACCCTGCCAGACGTCTGAGGTGAAGAGCTGAAGCGTCGTGCTGAGCAGGCCGTTCATTCAACATGGCCCCCCGAAAAACCACAGGCAGAAGCTAGAAAACTGCAACCTTGTCCACACCTAAGCAAGCAACAAAACCGCAGAAAGACACAGGTCTTTTGCGTTTGTAGGTGCAACTGTCTCTAACGCTGCAAGAAGAAGCGGCTCACGTTTAACAAGACGGAGTCTTGTCAGACAATCGTTGGGTAAAAATGAACGGCAGAACGCATTTCGAAGTTAGTATCAGAAAAAGTCATGAAGCAGCGCGAAAATGCAAGCACGAAGGGTTCGCCTCGAAACTAGGAAGACGACTGATACATGTATGCAGTATTATATGCATCAACAAAATCGTGTCCCTTGTGGCCTGTGCCAGCATCATCTGTCGACACTGTACAGCCAACAATAAGAATAATAAGAGCAGACGGTCCTGCCTCTCCCCGTCATTGCGCAAACATGCTCGCAGACATTGCAAATGCATGGACTGAATCGCCGTGTCGCCACGAACATGCACCGAAAACACGAGGACTGCAAGCCCCCGAAGTACAATGACACAGAGGTAACGAAATCACAGCCGGCCCGCCTGCCATTGCGAGGATGTTCATGCAGGCGGTAAACAAGGGTGCTGCTACCTGTATGAAGGTAATAATCGAGGGTAACTGCATCCAGGCCCCCAACGTGCAAGGTCAGAGCCCGTAGGCGATTGCCATGAGCTCCCTGTTGGCCAGTGGTATGCATAGATGTGATATGGTGCGGTCCTTGCTTTAGGGTTTGGGCCGTAGACTCGAGCTTCGCTCTCGGTGGATGGCGCTGCCGTGTCGACATTTAATCACTTGTACGAAATCCAGGAGAGGGGAAATTCTCGTTGCAGTGTTCCCTGTTCTTTCACCCCGATCATCAGTGCAAAGCATATGTTGGGAAGAAGATTCAACAGAAGAATCGACTCGCACCCACGCTCTGCCCGCCAGCCAAGATGCTTGCGTCAGCATCTGCCTGCTTTTCATGAGGCCTTAAAGGCTGCAAAGTACCGCGGCGCATCACCAGAAACCAGAAAGAGGTCCGGACAGTCTACTACAGTAAACGACTGCACGTTTGCCTGCTGCGGAGGTATGAGGTCGAACAGGCCTTCGGGGATCGAGCGAGCAAAGCTCTCTCAGAGGCGTCGACAGCACCACGCAGCCTCCCCAATCGGCTCTGCGACGCTCTGCGAGCACTCGAGAGGCACTGGCACGACAATCCGGCGATCCTGCGGCTGAACGAGTACTCGTGGGATCGCCAGCTTTGTGCACTTCAATTCAGATCGTGGGAAGGCTCTGCTTTGCTTCTCGCAGGAGCACCAGTTGAACAAGAACTCGCAGCCTGGGATTCTGTCGAATATCACATGCCTGAGGCTATCATTTCTGCGGGAAGCATGTCGTAAAAGTATTCCTTCCAACAGTCTACCAACTTCCTTCGAAGATCTTTTCCGGACACCAGGACATCGGGATGTGGGACGAGGTGCAGTCGGTGTTCCAACCTAACTTGCCCGCTAATGACAAACTGGATCAGGCACACTACGCAGATCCGGAGTTCGGGCACTGGATGGGCGAGGTGATGGAGGCACCGGACCACTGAATTCCCTGATGTGTCTGGCCCTCCGGCGCCGTGCCAAAACATGGCACAGAGGTGGGATGTGCTGTTGCTGACCCTGACTCGTCCGAGGGAATGCTCCCAGAGGCGCTCAAGCTGAACCGATCCGAAGCCTAAAAGTATCTAAATGCCCGCGAGATGTGGCGTCCCCCGTCCCTCTTCGGGAGTCCGCGTGAGGAGTGCTACAACTCTGTTGCTTGGGTGCAGGACGTGATGCGCCATCCTGTTGGCTAAGATGTGATGAGAGTTCGCTGAAATGTGGGTTCGGCCAAGCAAGTTGCTGCTAGGACACAACATCTGCTGGTGGCTGCCCTAGTTCGGAGCCTCTGCCTTCTACGGAGACACAGTCGCGAGCCGAGGTTACACCAGAACTTGGGGCATGGCCTTGGCCTTATGTAAACTGCCGCTCCCGTGCTTCCATGTGTTTCCCGTGCTTGTCATTTCCTCAGGAGGGATCCGAAGAATGCGCAGGCCACCCTCGCCCTCGCCCCGGCTCAAGTCACAACAAAGGTCCGCTCTTTCTGGTCTTGACTGGCTTCAGGTCCCTCCATAGGGAGCAGTCTGAGAGGTGCGAACCATTCTCAGCACCCTGGATGCCGGTACATCCATGATGCAATCGCCACGACAGTAGTTAAGCTTTGACTTTTGACTTGCGCAGTGTCGCTGAAGCACGCAAGGTGGGCATCTAAGCGGCATGGCGGCCATGCGCGGACAGAGGACTCGAAACACGGGGCTGATTGTCATTGTAGTAATGTAGTACGTAGTTCGAGTTCTTCCTGCACGAAAGGAGTCCGAAGTGCGAGCCTGGGCAGAGGCAGTCCACACTCCACGAAAGTGTGGAATCCGCCGTGGAACATCCGTTCCCAGGATCGTCAGGTAGGCTCGTCAGGTCCAACGCCACGGAACAGAACCTCTTGAGCAGACTCGTGAAAAATAGCGTAAAGTGTAAAGACAATGGTCTCAGCTCTTGTAAAGGAGAGTTAGGTGAGCATGACTTCAACCCTTTGACAGAAAGAGAACATAGTGTGTCAGTCACCCTGTGCAGACGACAACGGCTGCCTCAAGCAATCGTTCCGTGGCGTCGGCCGCTGACTCCAACTCCGCAGCAGGGCAGCATTATCTCACCCATGGTCCCGCGTTGGCAGCACAAGCATCTCACACGACTTCTTTTGATGCTGATTATAGTCACCGTGGCTCTGCGAGATCAGGAAACCGGACAAGTTCACGAAGATGCAGACGATGACGCAGACGAGCTGCCTATTCCTCATCAACACCCTTCACGCTTACTTGCGGCTTGCGTGGTCTGTTTGCTTGGCACAGTCTTGGAAACCTGCGCGGTGTCAAGGCTGGCCAGCTGCTTCAGGTCTGTCACAGGAGCGACTTGAGGGCTGTCGCCTTGGAACCAATTTCGCTGGCCCAGCAGTTTTTGTTGCAGTGCTGCTGTCCCCGACGAGTGCCAAAGCAAAGCGCTGTGGATCGGTTAAGGTGTTGCTGCTGTGATACCTGCTGATGCATGAACGTCCCCGACTTGTCCGATTGAGCAGCTGACAGCAGCATCTTCCTGCTTGAGCAATCTGAAACATCTGACCAAGATCTCAGGTGAGCTCTTTCCCGCCGGGGAGCCTACCTGCTTCACGATCGGCTGGACACTGCCAAAGTTCAATTAAGAATCGGCTCCCTGGCGTAAGCACAGGGCCACAATCTGCCCCACCACGTTTTTTAGTGGGCGACAGCACTCTACTGAAGGGCAGCGGCATGCCAGCGCTTGCCGAGCTTTCCTTCAATCCGTGCGATTTCAAGCAACTTTGTATTGAGTGTATGGTGAAAGTGTGAGAGATCAGTTGGCCGGTCGGTTGCAACGTTGTGCGTCATTTCACCTTCATATTGGCCCTTTCCAGCTGGTATAGTTCAATCGGACAGGTGGATTTGGGTGACGTCAAGAGTCAAGCATTCTGAAATTCAGGGATATTGAGGGTTCGGATTGGTCCTGGATCTGAGCCATACCATGATCTAGTTCGCTACTCTTGTGATACCTGGTAGAGTAAAAGAGCTAAGTGGGCTTTTCAAATCAAGAAATCGTTAAACCTGGTGCCAAGTCATCGAATCAAGAAGAAATAGAACAGTCGTAGACATTCTGTGTTGAGGCCTGCAGCTGGGGGTTAAGTGTAGGACCAGTCGGTTTGAGGCTAATCTTGGTCCGAGGCTTTTGAAGGGATGGGGGAAAAAGAGACTCGTTGGTCCTTCCTGCTTCCTGTGGCTGTCGGAGATGGTCTCGGCTACCCGGGCGCGGACGCTCGGAAGCCTTTAGGAGTAGGCCCTAAGTAGCCTACGCTTGTTCACATAAGTCTTTTGTGGTTTGCCGAAGAGCGCTGTCAGTCCCAGTCTCGAAATTTGCTTTGCACAGCTGCAAGTGTCGGAGTCCGAAAAAGATGAAAGAAAGATGATCCCGCATAGCAGGCCGTGACGGTGCCGGATTCTCGACATGTGCAGCACTGCCAGCCAAAGTGCTCAGATGTGAGAAGCCGGGAAGTAGCTCTCAGAGGCAATGCGAATGGCAATGCTGTCCAGAGCAGTGTGGCCGGAGCTGATAGATTTCAGATGATGTTGACAGCCATGCTCGGAGTACACTGCTGAGACAGTTACCATCAGCATGCCTGTTGTCTTTCCTCAGCAGTTGACTCGAGGCCCTAGCAAACCTGCAGGTCCATCCAAGCCGGCCGACCGCTGGATGGTTCGCAGGACACCGGGGAAGGCACCGCCTCTCTGCCCGCACAGCGGTGTCGCCCATGACGAAATTAAAGTAAGTAGCAGGCTGCCTCAAGTGGTGGCCGCGCCAGGCTCGGAAGCACAAGCATGTACTCACAGACTCATGGTCCACTTGCGCCGTCCAGCGCAGGTTCGCTTCGCTAGCCTCCTGTCCAAGGAGCTGCCGGCTTTGATGTTCATACGACTTCTCACGCGTCTGGGTCATGTAATGGTGGCCCCTGCACACGTCACCGAATTGGCAGTTACTCCGAGTCTGCAGACCGAAGTGGTTGCACCGACAAGCTGCAAATCAAAGTTCAACCTTCACAGCAGCAGCAAGATCAGTTCTTCATTCGTTTGTTGAGCAATCGGAGACTGCCAATGTAGAGCACTGTTCGCTCCCAGTTCTTTTAAACCAGGTTGTCGGAGCGACAACTCCAGTCGCTGTTCGTGCCAATCAGCTGTATATACGGTCACCGCCTCCACGGCTGCAAAGATTTCACACAGCAAGCGCCAGCAAGCTGAGATGTGGACGCCAAGACTTTTTCAGCCGTCGAGGTGCTGACGCGCGAGCTCCGAAAACACCAAGAATGTATTTCTACCAGGCATGAGGTGTCGAGTGCGAGCGCCTCGCTGTCTCAGTACCAATTTTACAAAGAAAAGAACGACGACGTGCGGTACTTGGCCGAGCTTTGGCCTTCCCGCGGAAGGAAGGCTCAAGGCAGCTGTCCACAGTCCACAGGCCAACTACTACCGGGGTGTTGACTCGACCAACCAGGCCCAGAAGGGCATCTATGATCGCATCCAAAACATACTTAACATACATGCTCATGTTTGTCCAAGTCCCCACTCCGGAGCACGTGTGGTTTGAAGTGCCCAGGGGGAGCGCTGATCGCGAGGCCTTTTGAGTTCGGGTTCGCTTCTTCGCAGTCCAAGTTGCGATGGGAGCCGGCACTGGGTTTCTCAACAGAGGTTCCCCCAAGTGTGTGGCCGACAATCATTTGGAAGCAGGATCACGGGGGAACCCCAACATGGAAACCTCAGTAGAAGCATAAGCCGGGGCCTACCGAAGTATGGTGGCCCGAATGCAGCATAGTGCCCTTTGCACAGCAAACGCACAGGCTGCTCTGAGAATCCCGCCGAAAATGCGATTTCTCGAGTGTCGGCCAGACGGCTAAACCCCTCCTTTTGTCTTGGGGGGGAGGCCACGGGGCGTGCCTCTCCCTCCAGGCCGAAGTCCAATGCAGTGCCAGCCTCAAAACCACAGGACATGGGAAGAACTTGGTGTTTGCTGTTTGAGTTTCTGGGGGTCTTGTTGTGTTGCACGGCCATCAGGAGCCCAAGCGTTTCTTCGAACCAGGCCCAAGGAAGGAAGAGGCAAGATCCTCCGGGGCAGTGACGTGCGGTGCTGTTCTTGTTTCTGACCCCGCTTGAGGTGCGCGCTGACCTTTGCATGGCAAGGGTGTGGGGCGACGGCTACGGTAGGCAGTGCCCGAGGAGCCTCGGCCCATTCGGTCTACAGCAAAATCATGCATGCTTGTGCTGATGACAACAGAGGCATCCCCGCAGCGGAACCCAGCTCTGTGGTCTCCACAAGGTCGTGAGTTGGAAATGCATTGGAGAGAGCCTGAGCCAAGCTACATACGACTGTCTTGTGACAGGAGGGCTTGCTGGCACATGGACGGGTGGATGAGCCGGTGCCTCCTGCCTGCCCGGCATCCCTTGACAATCTCGCTGTTGTAAACAGATCGTGATGAATCGCTTACCTGTGGCAAGTTCGGCATTTAGGCGGGTGTCATCCATGCACATGTTGAGCTGCTAGGCGAAGCTCAAGCAAATGGAAGAGGCGGTCATGAAGAGCCGAGGCCGTGTCCAATGTCTGCGGACGCAGCTCAGATGCCAAGTTTTTTCGAGCCAGGACAGCCGAAAGTATCGGAAAGTCGAAGTCCTCCTGTTGCATCTTCAACTGCGGTAACACGAGGTCAAGCGGCACGGCTGCTAGAATGGAATAATGCTTCCAAGCACAACGATGTGCCATTTGGGCAGGCAGAGCGGCCATGCAGGAGAGTGAGATCGACATGTCAGGTTCAAACTTCACTTGGCTCAGTGATGGGGAGGAGGAGCTTCTTGCCAGGCAGCACCAAAAGTCCTCTGATGTGCATGTTGCACGATCAACAGGAGCCGGCGATGCGTCCATTCATGCGCACGGTCGGAAAAAGGACCACGCAGACTGGTGTGGACTTTTGTTTGTGTTAGCCACAAGCTTCTGAGCAGGAGTCGGCGTCGGCACCATCGTGTCGAGTACCTGTCAGGAGGGCTTTTGCCTGTCGGCTTGCAAAGTGGACACCCGATGTCGAGAAATCAGCTCGCCGCATCCAGGATCAAGCTGCAACAGAACAGTAGCTTTGTACGAATCCAGGAGTGCTTTGAAGCGTTTGAGGCCATGGGTGGGTGTGGTCGATTTTGGCAGCTGTTTGTCTTCCTCGTGGCCGTCGCACTTCCACCAGGCTGTGAAAAGCAGTTTGCAGCGTGCAGCGACGTGATGCAACTTGCAGTTTCTCACTTTGACTGTTTGCAGTCCGCATCACGTGTGCCACAGGTGCATGTGCCACTTCGAGCGCAGATGCAGCAACAGAATCGTCAGAAGTGCGAAGTAGTCAAGGCGACGCTGAGACGCAGGTGCCGTGCTGTTCTGAAGTCCGGTGCACGAACGCTGGCACAAGTAGCAGCCAGCACCCTCGCAAGAACCGTAATCAGTACACACCGCTGCTTCTTGCTAGGTGACGGATGCCGAAAGGGGGGAGTGCACCGTCGTGAACGGAATGTGCTGGGTTGATGCTGAATGCTGCTCCGGCAGGCAGCCGTGCCAGAAAGATGAACGATTGCATGCTCATGAAAATTGGCCCATTGCATTGAGGTGTCAGAAGCATACCAGACGGTGCCGGCCGATTCGGTGAAGCTTCCTCACAAGAAGAGGCAGGCAAGAGTCGTACAGAGGTCAAATTTGTTTGGGGTCTTTGCTGTGCATGCCCTGCCCTCCCCTGCCCTGGGCCAGAGGACTCACCGACTGGAATGAGGGATGGTCATAGAGATGACAGAGGATGAAGGGCGGCCGCAAAGCCGTCGCCTTCTTGTGCAGCGCTTCTGGAGCAATTCAAAAAAAGATTGCCGGAACGATGGTCGCCGAGCAAAAGAAGCATGCGGTCTTGGTGAAACTGTGAAAGCTTTGAGACTCTAGGAGGTTATGCTGCCGTCAAGACCCTGTCACTACACAGGACATGAAGTCAGCTTCGTCCTGGAGGCCAGTTTTCCTCTTTTCCTCATTCGGTGTCGTGTGCAGATCTTTCGGCAGGTCGGTGATGTGGTCCGCGCCTTCAGAGGCCTCGCATGTGGACTCCGCAATTCGCAACCTATGGGCGACAGTCACAGCGAACCGTGACAAGGCAAGGGAGGCCTTGTCTGTGGTGAGATATGTGAGCTCGTCGAGGACGGACCTTCGAAGTATGTCTCACGGCCATCAGTGATAACATATGGTAACTTTAACAGTGCGAAGCATTATAGAGGACGGACAACGCAAATTCATGGTGCTGAGGCTGGAAGACTGTGTTTCGGCTGGCTCTTTCAGGATGCACTCAGATTGTGCCAGGCGCATGTACGAAGCTGCAGAGCTCAGAAAGGGATCGGCAAGACCAACCTTATCGGAGAAGGAGCTGGTCGCCTCTGAGAAGGTTCGATTCATCGAAGCAACAGAGCAGTGCACATCTCCCGGAGCCACTTTGTGCCAGTGCGAAGAGCTGCCTTTGTCCTCGCTGGCTGGGCGGCCTCTCCGAGTTCTCTCGCAGAAGGCCACCTGAGTGATGGTTGATCGATCTCGCTACAGCAGACATGAAGCTGATTCGGGCTGGGTACGAGCTATTATGTCCGGCAAGCTTGGTTGGATCTTCTCAGGAGATAGGGTAGCTGTGAAGTCGAGAGGCCTATACCAAGGAGGCAGACGAGGAGGACATCAACATCCAAGCTACAGGCAGTTGGATCGCACAACAGCTTGTCAGTGGTGACGTGTTCGAGTTTGGGCGATGCCTTCGAGAGTGCTTGCAGGCTGCATGTTTTGCCGCCGTTTGCTGGGAGAAGGTGACGTGCTGCGCCTTGCTCAGGTGTTTTCAGCCCCGGCAGTGTTGCCGTCCGAACTTGTTCGACAAGACAATGAGGTGGGAGCTGGACTGGGACAAGGATCGCGAAAAGAAGCGGGAGGCGCGCCCTCGGAGATTTGAAGCTCGAAAGCGCTTCGGTTGCCACTTCTCGTGAGGAGTGTCTGCGAGCTTACCGTGGCCTTGAAAAAAAGGAGAGCGCAAGTGACTGTGCAGTTTTAGCAGCTCGAAATATGGAGCTGTTAGGAGGCGCAGGGGAAACTGCCAGATGGCCCTCAGGCAGGTGGTTGGCTCATGCAGTGCATTGCGGCATGTAGTGGCGCCGATTCTGATTCTTGTCGTCCCGATAGAGGGCATTTTTTTCATGGCGCTTTCAGCCTGGTTCTCAGCTGGGCACGCAGGCCACAAAGACTCGGGTCATCCGAATGCGACCTGCGAAGTGTAGAATCAGCGTGAAATCTTGAAAGCTACACGTAAATCTAAGGCTTTGCGTCCGTTCGCTTCAGAAGGCATGCTCCCGTGCCGTGAATCGGAGCAAGCAAGTGCAGCGTTCCCAAACATGGTGTGTTCTTTGCCACAGTCTACGTGTGATGGGGCTCGGAGGTCGCATGCTCAGGTCATGGAATTTCTCAAATCCTCATTGCGCATCCACATCAAGAAAGAGGCCACGGAGGAAACCAGAGGGCCGAACATGACACCATGACTCCATTTATCTGGATGTCAGGTCCTCTACGTTTCAGGCATGCCTGGCACTGGAAAGACTGCTTCGGTCCTCGACGCGGCGAAACGTCTGGAAAAAGCCAGGCAGGTTAGCAATGATGTTGTTGCGCCGCGGACAAGGGTCCATGCCGATCGCGGGGAGTAGATCTTCGCAAAGCTCATACTCCGAGGTCGTCAAGCTCCAATTCGAACACTCCGATCAAGTTCGCATACGTGAATGCCATGCCGAAACCTGAGAAGTCGACAGTTTCCTTGTGAAGCCACGCTTCTGTGGCAAGCGGCAGGTGTTTGTCTACCCCCTCTGCAGTTTTCGCCGAAATTCAACGCAAGGCATCTTCTCAACATCACATGGCATTGAACCGAACCCATGGCCTAGCTGGCCCTACGGAATGCAGGTTCTCGGACAAGCGCAGAAGAGAAAACGCGGTCCAGGCCCAGGAGGTGATGGAGAGGCAGAGCTCAAACGAAATAAATGCCAATGCCAACGAAGCGAATTTGAAATCGTTCCGTGTTGACGCATACTCTCGCAGCGCAATGGCTGTGACAGGAAGCTTTGCGCCAAGCCTTGACCCAAGCAGGTGGCGAGGCGAGACGGTTGCGGAACCGTTCATTTATGTTCACTCGCTGGTCTAGTGTTTGTCTTCAGAATCTGAAGTTTTTGAGTCGGTGAAGGTCGTTATTCTTGTCATCGACGAGGTCGATGCACTCCTTACACAGGCGGACACAGCTGGCCCGAGAAGAAGACACGTGACCCAGCGTTCAGGGCCAGACGGTGCTCTACCGACTCTTCGACTGGATGTCACAGCCAAACGCACGGCTCGTCGTGGTGGCGCGCTGCTCTGCTCGTGCTGCTGCTGCAAGCAGTGGATTCAGCTCCACGGAGGCCATTGCCAACACCATGGACCTCCCCGAACGCCTACTCCCTCGCGTCTCAAGGCCCCCCCCTTTTTCCCGCAAGCATCTGCAAGCCGCTAGTCGATGTCTGTGCTGCAGTCGTTTGGGCATCCGGCGGGTCAACTTCGAAGCTTACAACAGAGACCAACTTCACACCATCCTGGCCCGCGACCCAGCATGCGAAGTTGGACTGCTCGAAAGTCAGCTCTGCGAGGAAGCGAGGCTTGAATGGCAGCTTAACCTTGTGGTCGAAAACTTCACTTCCTGTCACTGCATTGAGATGTGTTTCAAGCGAACGTTGTGTCACTGATCGACACCTCTGTCTGAGAATGATTTGTTGAAAGCCCCGCTCACGTGCGAATAAAACAGATGGGAAATCGTGCTTGCATTCCTCCACTGCGTCTTTTCGGGCCTATGCCAAGGGATGAGCTTTAGAAAATTTGAGAAAACTATGTCGCTACGTGACAGGCTTAGCAAGCAACGTGATTGCAGAAACCTGAACTGGGCGCCAGGCAGATCGCCTACGAGCCGGTGGAGCAGAAGCGGCGATAAGAGACGATGCCGGGCTCTTGTTCCCTCTTTTGCTCGCATATTCATTGTGCACGTTTCGATCGTCGTGTTGATGGATCGTGTTTGCAGGCACTGAAGCTCTGCGCAGCTCGAGTGGCAGCGGCCGGAGGGGACGCTCGAAAGGCACTGCAGGCGGCGAAGCGACGTGGAAGCACGAGTTGGAAGCCTTTGTCGACAGCTTTAAGTGTGCAGCCATCGCATCTTCCAGTTACTGGTAGTTCTCGTTATAGCTCTGCCAGTGGAGACTGCCAGTGGTGTGTGGAACTTCGCTTGCGGAAAGTTGGAAAATTCAGAGTAACAAAGCCGATTGACACGCGCAAGATGGCAAAGGCTAGGACAACGACATACGACAGAGCGTTTAGGGCTTAGCCCTTTGCAGGAGTTGTGTTCTAGCATGCCTTTCTCGCGTGGTGAACGAACGGGCGAGCTGGAGCCCAACTGTCGTTTCTTTTTGCTGATGAATGCCGAGTTGAACCCTCAAACTCGCAATTTTGGTTTGCGATGGCGTTCCCAGCTAATTGGGCCCCGGTTCGTTGAAGATCTCGGGTGGGATCTTTGGATGCGCCACTGCGATGGATAAACGAAGAAGCGTGCCAACCATGCGGAGTGTTCTCCATGTGAGTGTCAACACTGGTTGTTGAAGTTGGTGTTTGTGGATGTGATGCTGCTGCTCCTGTCGCCGTTGTGGCAGTGGTTGTTGTTGGCAGCGTGCTATGTGCATGATGTGCATTTGTTCGTGCTTCAGTGCAGGGTGGGCGGAAGGGAAGTGGGTGATGACGTCCACGGCAATGCGTATATGCGTGGAGTCTTCTTCGTTTTGCTTCGGTGCAGGGGTGGGGGTGGGGGGGATGGGATTGATGCTGACCTTGCCACCCTATCTCTCTCCGTTCGACCACCCGGATCGTCGGCGGATTGGGTCCTCCCGAAGGTCTACCCGGGGTAGGCAAGGTGAGTCTCTTCCGGGTGGGCGGACGGGGGGGGGGGGGGGGGGGGG